AATACAACAAAGTACAATTTAACAAAATGTCCTTGAATCAGTTGACACAAAGAATACAAAAAAAAAATTTGAATATGAAAATAACTATAGAATATATGTAATGCTGCCATCTGTTTAATCAGAAATTTAAGAAAGAAATTGTAAGATATTGAAATGGAACTCAACCATTACCATTTAATAAAAAAAGCAAGATATAGTTGAGATTTAAAGCCTATTTTCAATACAACATAAAAATGATTTCTTAGCATTGCAAATAGATGATTCATTGACTGTCTTCAATTGAACAAAGAGTGTATTATGAGAAGATTCAACCATATTTATGTTCTGCATCATATATTGATAATAATATTTTTAAAGTGGATTCTGGGTGAAAGGAAGCAATTCCCCTATAGCTAATATTGTTAATTGATTTTCAAGACAAAGATCTCCATTTTTGTGATGAAACTATGCTTGGTCATTGAAATGTTGAGTAATTTGTGTAAATTCTTGTGTTCTAAGCAGCAACTTTGAAACAATTACTAAGACTAACTTCAGTGATGTAAAGTTTTTTACAGGGTACTGATTGCAATGCTAAATGTAGTAAAGACAAAGGAACTTTAGAAGTACTTTTATTTCATAGAATGGGAATGATTGAACTTTTCATAATAGATGGTACTATTACATAATCAATAAAGAAATAAAGAACTTTAAAAAAGATACTTGTCAAAGTGGTTTTATCTTACCTGAAACCAGGTGTTGATAAGACAGATTAAACTGTTTACAGAGATGTAAACCAGTGCAACAATTACAATCTAAGTCTTTTATCCAATATCAAAGTTGAGAGAAAGCATTTACACAATGATATATTTTGTGGCTAGATTTTGGATTGAAAAGTGGTCAGGAAGAGTAAGACAGCTACTGATATGTACTTAGGAGAGTCTCAAATGAGAGTTAGGGTTACTGGAAGAGATTAGGCAGCATCTCTCAGTTCATTCTTTTGCAGAATCTTCTTGTTATGTAGAAAGAGAAATTATGAACCCAGTCCTGAATGGTCAAGAACATTCCTTGCCCTGAAGATTGAATTTTCTCTTTTCCCTGTCTGTCAGAATCTTCTTATACTTTCTTATTGTACAACTTTCGTTCTATTCTATTCTTATTCTATACTACTATTATATATAACTTAATACAAACCAATGCAAGGAAATACAATAACATGTGGCCTAACACAGACCTTCTTGGTCATACTTAAGGTTCATCCTAAGTACCACTTAAGTTTTGGCCACATTATGATTGATGAGCTTGTCTAAGGTTTTGGCCAAACTATGATTAATTAACTTTCTCAAGTGGGGAACTTTGTAACATATTGTTCTAAGGACAAACATGAACTAGGTGAGTTCACAGCTGCAAAGTGGTGATTGGACGCTAGACAATAATCTTCAAGTATATAACTCCTCACTGCTTTACTCCAATTGGCTAACCTCAACCTGGGAGGATGAACTGGAACCAACACCCACTGGGATCCTTCTACTTCCTCAACATTGGACACTAGTTTGGTAATTTGTCAACCTACTGTTACCCACTACTTACTCTGCTATTGAACTTTCATATTGTTACTTGCTTAAGTATTATTTTCAATAAACCACTTAAATTTAAACACTTTGTTTAAAGGTTCGAGTAGAACCAGTACTGTTATAAGTTACAAATGCATAAATTGGCAAGACCAAAGCAGTACACTATTATTATTGCAGAGAGTGTCATAATGGACAATGGATAAAAAGGAATTAAGTCTCCAATAGCGAAAAAAATTGTCTAGAGAGAAGTGGTGAAATTTGTTATAATAACAATTGTTTAATTGAAAAGTTTACAAAGTGGGATTTGGTTAAGATTAAGTTGGATTAGGTTAAGACTAAGTTGGATTGGTTTAAGATTAAGATGGATTAAGTAAATTTAAGAAAACCAATTAGCTATGCTTGTTAGAAAAAAAGGCCTATAATTTATGTTATTAAAATCTGGAAATTAATAAGATACTGTTAATTCTTCAGATCTACTTACTGGAAAAAAAGATATTCAATGTATTTGAAATTAAAATTCTTTTTTATTCAATACTTATGATAAATTTCTTTCTATCAATAGGCCTACCACTTTGCATTTTTGTACTAAATCTTTTCTTTTTTTCATAAGAAGGAATTAAATTTGCCAATAAAATATCAAAGCAGTTGTGAAGAAAAATGTTTACAGTTACCAGGGAAGTTTTGAAAATTGATTTGATCAAGTTGTAAAACTTGCTATGATAGTTTTTGCAAAAGAAGACATTTCAAAAATATTTCATGTTCTAAACCTTTCATTTGGTCTATTTACTAAAAAGGAATTGTTGTAAAAGTATTTATAATTTTCACTCGGTTCCTTTTTATAAGGAAGGAACTTCTTTAATATTTCAGTAATATCTGAAAATTGAAATACAAAAGGTCTGTTGAAGATTTGCAATTTCAATTGGAAGACATTTTTTCACCCTCACTCTCTAAAATTTACTGTTCATATCAGTATTTAAATTGGAAACAACGGGAATTTGTTTTTCAAAACAAAATGTTGTCAATCTTGAAATTTACAATCCAGGTAATAAAAATATTTTAATTTAATTAAATTCTTACTCTACGTATAGCAAATATGGAATGGTATCAATTGGTTAGATACAGACAAATAGCTATACCTTCACATGTTATTTTCCCTAATCCAAAAACAAAAGAAAATATAAAAGAAAGCTATGACTTTAGCTATGTTGATAAATTTGTTATAAAAAAGAAGAGTATTTCATTTTTAAACAAAACATTACAACAAATTGCAATTATTTTAACTAAGGACTTTGATGATGAAATGCTAAAAGTACGAGCTTTATTTCGTTGGTTAGCATCGCTCAATTTAGATAAAATTAATTATTATAAGTTGATGGAAAATCAAATGAGATATATTTTGTATAGGCTAAAATACAACCATATTACACATGAGAAAAAAAATATTCATTAATTCAGTCTTTCTTTAAAAAGAAAGATCATTCTTCTAAATTAGAATATAAATATAATGAAGGATATTTTTTGCAAAATCCAGAAGAATTCATTTACAGTCATTATAAAGTTTTCGGTAAAAATCAGCTATTGGCTAGAGAAGTAACTTTAAGGGAATTTGAGGATATGGCCTAATTAAGGCCTGCATTCTTTCAGCATAAGCTTGGAATTATTTCACATCCAAGGTGTATTGTTTTTGCTGAACAGTCCAGGAATGAAATTCTTATTGGACATAAAAAAGAATTCCCTGTAATGTTTGATGGAGAAATTTTTATAAATGATGAAACTGTTTTAGATGCTAATCTAGAACAACAGATAAGAAATGAAACAATAAATCCAAATTTATATGTTGCAGCCTTTCAAAACAGAAATAAAAGCCTACTTATCATTAGATTAAGATTACCTCAAACTGCAAATTACAAACTGAGAATTAGAGTGTCTAAAGATAATATTAAAAATAAAGAAATTAATTATGAGTGGTGTACTGATTACATTATTAATTACAAAAAAAGAGATAATATCTCTATTCCTCCATTTCCAAAAATGGTTACGACAGAAAATGTCCCCAAATGCATGATTTAACCCTAACCCTAACCCAGCCCTTGCCACTCCCTAACCTTTTTGATTACCCCTGACCCTTAGAAGGAACCCCCGTAACTACAAATCAATGTCTACTTGACTCACCCTAACCATTTATTCAATCCGAAATGTTGCTTTCAAAAATCTCACTCGGGGACATTTTCTGTCGGCCCCTCCAAAAACATATCTATATGAACTTGGACCAAATTATATTGCTAGAGAGTGTAATTTTACAAATATGTTCCCTCAGCTTGGAATGTATACTTCACCAAATAATAATTATACAGAAATTCATTTCAATGGATATGACAATGAATACGAGTTTTATGTTAAAATTACAAACAATAAATATTCTTCTGTGTTTTTATAAACATATTGCATATCTATGTTTGAAAATGGTCTAGGGCTCATCAGATTCTTTTCTCCATCTGAAGGAGAATATGGTATTAATATTTTTGGCCAAAAACGAAAATATGAATATCATTGTAATTGTTTATGTATAAAATTATTTGAAAAACAACCAGAAGAATCTCTTCCTCCTATTTGTTCATATATTGTTAACAGTGAAGAAAAGGCAAACTATACTTTAGTATTTCCAGAAAATGAAAAATTTACAATTGGCAAACAAAGATATTTCTTTAAATTAAAACTAAGGATGGAAGATAATTTCCAATCTTTTCAAGAATGCGATAAATCTAATAATTCATTTTAAAATATTTAAGGAGATATCATGTCAATTTAAAATTGAGTTAAGATGGTATGATGAAATAAACAATAGACACAATTTATCTATGTATTCATTCTTTGAAAATAGTTATGAATATGCTACTATCCACATTAATTTTCCATTACCAAGAATGTACAAATTTCTAATTAAAGCAAAGGAATTAAATGCCAGAAAACAATATGAATTAGTCTATAATTGCTATTTTTATGTTATTGAACCCAATACAAATTCCTTTGAATTTCCAATTATTACTGATAAATGGAGAATTAGCGAAACTCATAGAATTGTTCAACCATTTAGAAAACTCTACTGAATGAAAAAGTTTTAATACAAATTGAAGGTTTTAAAGCTGATGAAATGATTGCTTGTCGTACGTATGATAATGAAATTTTTCATTTTCATTTCTTTAATGATCTATGGGAATGTGAAATTGATACTGGTGATAATTTTGGTAATTTAATCATCATGGCAAAAATTTATAGAAATGCAAAATTCTTTACTGAGATTTTAATTTATAAAATTTTTAAAAATTCTATTAAAAAATTGGATAAACCTGCAATACAGAATAGTAAAATCAATGCTGAAAATGAAAGGATAAAGGAAATAGATAACTCTGAAAAAAATGAAGAACCCATTTAAAGTAATATTGTTGAAGATATGAAAAATGTACAAACTATTCGAATGGAGACAATTGAAAATGTGAGTAATACAGGAGAAATTGGTGAAATAGATTGGTTATCAAAAATGGAAGAAGTTATCTATATAAGTGAATTTCTATCTGATGAAGAATCTGACAATGGGAATGATGAAAATCCAACAATAAATGTAAGATATTAATAACAAAAGTTTTGCTCTTTTTCAAAAAATTCACCTATTTTTCTCTATAGGAAAATGAAAGTGAAAGTGGTAATGAAGAGAAAGGAAATCAACAACAACATAATGATCAGGAAGAAGTTGCAAAGAAGGCATTAAGTAAGTAAAATATAATTTATTTTTGAATATTCAAAATTATCAAAAACAAAATAATATTAAAAATATTTTAGATTTTCAAAATGCATTTCATGAAAAAGATTACAAAAAGTTAAAAATAGCTATTGATAAAGCTTCTGTTGAACCAATAAATCCTTTATTATTTAAAGATTTATCAAAAGCTAATGAATTAAAAGGAAATTTGAAAAAAATATATGGTTTGCAAAAAAGAATTTTAAAACTTGATGCAAAATATATAGCAGAATTAAATCAATATAATCAACCACCAACTGTTATACACCTTGTTATAAAATCAACATTATTGATTTTATCAATTGGTGAAGTACAAACTGATGAATGGAAAGAATGTAAAGTTTTTATTAAATATGCATGCTCCAATTCTATTTTAAAGAAAATTAAAGATCTTAAAATCTTGAATGTACATCCAGGAATTATTCTAAGAGCTCAAGAAATAATAGATGAATTAAATATGCAAGAAGTTAGAGAGGCAAGTGCAGGTGCAGCAGCATTCTATTTATGGTGTAAAGGTAACATTGATATTTATAAAAAGATCAAGAAAGATGAAATGGAAAAATCACAGCCAGCGTACAAAGACAGTCAAAAGAATATCTTTTCATCCACTTAAAAAAGGTTACTTGTTTCATATTGGTATACTCAGACAAAGCTAACATTATACACGACTACAAAAGCATTCTCATATATGAGTTTATTAGAAGAGATAGTTTGTAATAGCACGTTTGCAAATTTTCAAACTAACATCCAACATTGAAGAGTAAAAGGCTTTTTCTAATTGAAGAAGTGTACGCAATTTCGGTGTTTTGCCTTAAAGGGTATTGAAGGGAAAGGAATGATGTCATAAATGCCCTGACCTTAACCCTTCAAATCATAGGTTGATATACATGTATCAATGTCCTCATCAGTTTCTCTTTTACAGTCATATTTAAAGTCACAGAAAGATTTTTTATTGATGAATTTATTTTCAGAGAACCATTTCAAATTCTTAATCAATGGTGAAATTTTTCATAAATTGTTAAGGTCTAGGTCACCACTGTAATATGTGTATTGTGAAAGGAAAATGAAGAACAATACACTTAATGAGTATAAAATATATATAAAAGTCATTAACTAATTCTTGCCATTATCCATTAACTTCAAAGCTCCATAGCTCCGCAACCACTCAGCCGATTTTTCTCAAATTTTGCACAGAGGTTCAGTTGAAAAATAACCAATCAATCAATCAATCAATTAGTGACCTTGATAATAAAATTACAATATGAAGTGAAATTAAAATTTTTCAGATTGTAGAGGCAACCAAAGCAGAAAATTAAAACTTAAATTTGGAAGTATCACTCTGCTAAATTTTCAAAATGTCTAACAAACTCGTAGGAGTAGTCTTTTGTAGTTGTTAACAAATATTCAGTTAAATTTGCATTGTAAATGCACCTTCCAAGTAGATGATCTTCATCTTCAAAATGTACTCTATTCAATTGTTCCTTAAAAATAGAAGAATATTGCTGACCTTTCATTACACTTAAAAAGCCTTTTCCCATATTTAAATTTCCTTCGAAACTCAAGTATGGAATACTTTTATGATGATGCACCGTATCAGCTAACCATTCGCATTGTTGAGAATTTAAATCGCAGGAATCAACTCTTAAGGCAATAAGTTGAGAACTTGATTTTAAACCTTGACAAACAGGATATGCAACATTTGTAAATGGAGAAAATGTAAAAAGAATCCCTCTTGTTGGGAATAATGTAAAGTTTCTACAGTTTATGGATGTTAATGAGATTGCTAATGATTTCACAGTCAAAAATGTAACAGTGTTAAAACTGCGGAATTTTGTATTTACTAACAAAAATACAAAAAAAATTGTTGAAACATTGAAAATGAATCCAAATATCAGACTCATTTATAAGCCAATGGGTGTGAGAGAGAAAAAAATGTAAAGGATGTAGTTATAATTCTGGTTTAAAGAGACCAGTATGCTCTTTGTGCTATTCGTATTATAATAAGAATAATGACAATACTTGTTCGTTGTGTCCAGAAGGTTGTAGGGTCAGTTCGTTGACTAGTAGTAACATTGAATGTTTGACTTGTTCGAAATGCGACATAGAAGGTTGTGGAGATTGTCAAGAGTCAAATATTAAAGGGAAGTTTGTCTGTATGAGTTGTTCAGACAATTTCTATATGAACAATGATGTTTGCAAGTCGTGCCTGGACAATTGCAACAAATGTAAATACAATAAGAAGTTTGTATGTACAAAATGTAAGGCGGGAATGAACTATGGGAGATTGTTGAATATCTAGATGGGAACATGACGAAAAATCAGTGTTTGAAAGAGGATGTTTGAACAAGTTTTGTTCAACCGATTATAAAAATGATTGTTCTTAATATTGTAATGAAATGTATAAGTTTCAATTCTCTCATTCACAATTCACACAAATAAAGAATCAACACTTAGGAATTTAATGAAGTGAGGTAAAAAATAGTTACACTATATATAAATGATCTTTTACAAATAAATTGTTTACTAATGTAGGCCAAGAAAGAAGAGACCTTGACGGAGTACTGAAAAATTTGCCTGTGGTAGGTATTGTTCAATATTGTAAATATTGAAAAGAAGGGTGAGAGAGAGAGAGAGAGAGAGAGAGAAAGTAGCTTGATGATATTATGAATAATATCAACATTCCAATCAATTCCATATTAATAATAATAGCCATTGTTTTCTTATTGAAAAGATCTTTTGGTTCAGAGTTAAATTTTAACGATATCCTTCATTCATTGTCCTAATTGAAGGAGAAAAAGGAATTGGAATTAAAATTACAGGAACAAACAAACAAACAAACAAACAAATGTAATAGGAATACATCTTCTTCTATAAAGAGTAGTAGTGTATTTTTTCTCCTGTATAGCTACTACCCTACTACTATCCGATAAATACGAGATGTACAAGCTTTCTATCTAATGAATAACTCGGAGAATTTCTCTTATTGTAAAGAATTACGAAATATTAATAAAGAAATTATGAAATATTTTACGATTTTCTTCAAAGTATTTACTGATTTACTGCATTGACAACGAAGACAATTGCAAATTATTAAATATTGCTGTGAAAGAATATTCGTTTCTACTGTTGTTTTTATAGTTAGGAAAATGGTTATGTTAATAAACATATTCCACTATCATAATATTTGATTGGGGAATTATGAAGGAATACTATTTTTTCCCGTCTCTGTCTTTTCCTCTCTTCCATGCCGATAAATTACATTCTCTATTGTTATGAACAAAACGCAAAATACACGTTAATAATCATCATTTATTAAATCATTTAACCATTGAATCATTAAGGAGATAATATATATTTGAAGCTTTTTTTAATTTAATAATCTTTTATTAGTTTATTGGATGTACATGATAAATTCCCTCTCTTTATAATTAATTTCAAGTAAGAGAAGGAGAAATAAATTTTAGATATCTTTTTTCACAAAAGTGAACAATTAATATAAAATACTGAACTTATAAATAAAAAGACAATTTCGTTGTTGTGGTTGTTAATATTATATTTGAAGGTTGAAATATTTCATTTTTCTCTTTCTTTTCATTGAAAATCAACACTTTTTTTTGGCTTTTAGTGTTGTTGTTACCATGTTCTTTTTTATTAGAAAAAACGTAGGAGGAGGAGGGTTAGTAGAGCATCTTTTCGAAGACTGAAAAAGAAACAAAATTCAATGGATAAAGAAAAATTTTGATTAGCTTGAAACGGTGTACATGAAATTTGATTGTATAAATTTTTAATGGTCAAGATTTTCATATTAATAAGTCTAAGCTCTAAAAAATATATATAATTCAAAGGTGAATAAGATTAATTGTCAAAAAAACAAACAGTTTCGTAGCTAAGGACGTCCCGTACGTCAGTCTTACCTCTATCTTGTCTTGTGTATGAGAAGAAGATACTGAAAATGATCAATTCAGCATTACTTCTTCGCCGAGTATGTGTCTCTGTGATAATATTCGTTGCAGTTATCGGAGGAATTAATGGTAGAATAGAATGGAATATACATATCGAATATATATATAATTATATATATCTACCTCTATCTTTCAATAATAGGTAATACTTGCGAAAATGATTTTGTGGTCTTTCGCAAAGCTTGCTATTCCCTCGTAACCACTGAGGCGTCTGTATACCTTACAACAAATTCAAGTAATGTTGAGGAAAAATTGGGAGGAATGAAAGTTCAAGTTACATCGTCTTTATTAAATTCTCTTTTGAAATGGATTCGAACGGATAATTCTATCATTTTATTGAGCATTGAAAGAAAGAATTTTACTTCAAATTGGACGGATGATTTTGAATGGTTCAATGGAGAAAAGTTGAAATTTCATGATTTTGATATTCCTAATATAAGTTTTTCAGAAAATGCCTCTTATGTATTTCTGGAAAATAATTCGTGGGTTTTAAAACCGGAAATACCCGCAACATTCCAAACATTCGTAACAACTGGATTATGTAATAAATATTACATAAATAGAATAAAAATCTATGAATGTGCGTGTTTTCTTTAATCGTTGTTCCTTTCTTTCTCCAACAGCTAGCAACCCTAACAATTGCAGTACAATTTGGAGTAAAGTTGTAGGACACAAGTTTGCCAGTCCAGGCTCTGCAGAAGACATATCTTTTATAAATTGCCTCCGGGTAATGTATTTAATAATTACTATTCGTAGCTTGTAAATAATTGATAAAACATTGATTTTTTCCATCTTCCTCTCATCGTTGTATTATCACTCAAAAAGAGCTGTCACGAAAATCCCGATTCATGCAAAAGTGTTATGTATATAAATGGGGATTGCTTCAAATCCAAGATTTTTGTCACTGCTCACGTCGACTCTGCTGAGTTATTGGACGATGAAGCGTCAATTATATACCAATACGAATGCGAAAATCACCAAATCGAAATCTGTACAGACGAGAATATTATTCATTCGAAAAATTATCCAGATAATTATTTCGCATCGTCATCTTTCTATCCAAATTATGAGGCGTATAAAGGAAAGTTTTTTGATTGGGATAATCCATTCGTAACGCAAGCGTTTAAGGCTGGAGCGTCTGATACAAATATTTGGTTTCAAATTCAATTAGAATCTCTCAAAGCTATGGATAAATATACAATAAAGGGTGGTGGTATGGCGGAAAAGCACTTTATAACATCACACTACGCTGCGTATAGCGCAGATTGCGTACATTTCATGTACTTGAACAATGTGGAATTGAGGAGATCAGTAAGTTTTGGTTGCATTAATTAATTAAGTAATTAATTGATTGATTGATCGATTGATTGATTTTATTAAAAAAAAAAATAGCTGATTAGAGGACCATACAAATGGGATGAAGCGCGAGTAGTAAACTTTCATTACAGAGCAATAAAATGCTTTCGTATTATGCCAAAGAGTTGGGTTGGTTCACCAACGATGACAATTAAATTTGAAATCTGTAATGCAGACTTTGATAAACAGTGGAGTAAAATCTACTCTTTTACTTGTGTATAGGTATTAGCTGTCTTTTGTTTTTTTTCAGCAATAATTCCATTGGGTATGGGTGATGGCACTATAAACGATTACCAAATAACTGCTTCCGAGGTGTATAAAGGGGATAATTACACAGAATATTACGCAGTTCATCTTGCCAGAAAAGGAAGTCAGCGGAAGGATTTCAGTTTTCAAAAACCTTGTTGGTATATTAAAGACACTGATAGTTGGTTTCTGATAAGCCTGATTAAAAAATCTGTAATCGTTGCAATTGGCATGGAGCCGGTTGAAGAATGCAATGGTATAATTGAAGACTTTTCAGTAATAGTTACCTCGTCGCTAAAGTCAATTAATGAGGAAGTAAATAGTCCATACATGACTTTTCTAAATGAGTCAAACATAATTTATGAGCTACCTAAGGCTCTTGTAGGATTATATATTTGTATTAAGCCTCATACTTGGGTAGGTGATGGAGGAATGGCTTTTGAAGTATACGGATCCAGCGAATGTAAATATTTTTTATCATTGCGTAATGAGTGTATAACAACACTTTTCCATATATTCTATCTAGCTAAAGACTCTAAAGAGTTGATCCATACAAAATTGTCAAATTGCATACAATTATCTGCATCTTTTGACACATACCCCTTTTTAAATATATCAATGGGAATAATAGAACAGAAATTACAAGCAATGACCTACATTGAATACAGTTCACATGTTGTTCTGACTGAAGTTAAAATTACGATAGAAGCTGGATATGATAAACCCGAGTACAGCATTAGCTTCTTAAGAGCGCCTAATGAATGGATGTTAATGAAATACAACACGGAGAATGTAAGTTCAACTGAAACAATTTTATATCTGCAACGGAAACAAGTCTTTAGAAAGTTTCGTATTGGATCGCTTAAAAGTTCAGTTGAAACTTTACCTGATTGCCTATTTGTTGAAGCGAAAGGTGAAGTAGTTGAATCGTGCCCACCAAGTACTGCGTATTATGACAACCATTGCTACTATACGTTACCTGGAACTATTGCGGGAGTAGAAGGTTTATTAAAGGCTTGCGGAAAGTCTTTTGGGGAGGATATCGGTTTTCTTGCTCAAATGTCATCGGCTAAAGAAGCGTTATTTGCTAGTAATTTAATAAGAGACATGTAAGAAAGAAAGCATTTTCTTCTATTTCTATAAAATACTGTAATAATGTTTATTAATCACTTTCTATTCTACAGAAACAACATACCATATAATACAAGTATTATCGGTTATTATCGTAACGAATCGAATGAGGTGAATCCCTACTACCAATCACAAAATCCATCCTACAAATGGGAATGGTTGCATGGAGCAAATACAAACTTTTCATTCTGGACATACGATATTAAAGACATTCCAACGGATAAATCATGTGCGATGTTAAATTCGTTCAATGATGGTAAATGGGAAACTACTGATTGTAACAAACATCATCAGTATCTCTGTAAATTTCAATATTCTCCTTGTACGTATTTCTAAAGACAGTATATCATGTATACATAAATATTTGTGAATAATTATTCTTCAGCTTCAACTGGTAAAAAAGTTCTTTGGGAATATCTGCCGGAAACTGCCTATGAGAGTTATATGGTGTTTGGTAGTTTTAAAGTAACATCAGTTACTGAATGTATGTATAGGAGTCTTCAACTAGGCGGTCCAGGATTTTCTATAAGTTCCGACGGCCAGAATTGCAAAGTTCCTACGCAATATAATATTAAAGTTGATAAGGAATCCAATATTTGGTCGAGTTATATTTTTGAAGATAACTGTGAATATCCTTTAATTGGAGGAAGTGCTGGTTTAAGTTTGGATAATATTTCGGTAGAAGCAACTGTTCAAGCATCAGCTAATCTATCAAATTTAAGATTTACAAATGAATTGGATGAGGTTGTCACTGGGTTTTATCAAATACCCAACGATTATAGTACATTCATAACGGTAAATGACATTTCCAACATATGTTTTCCTTATAAAAAACAAATAAAAGAAAAACTTTTTCAGTTTGATTTTAAACAACAAATGAAAATAAACCGTTTAGCCATTCAAACATCCGGTGATCCGAATGTCGACTATATTGATTCGTTCTATTTGCATTATATACAGGAAGACAGCCTGTGGCAGACGGCCAGGGGTAAAAGAGGGGGAAAACTGGTAAAGAAAATATTCGTATTTTATTACTTTGTATAGATGTATGTTTTTGTTTGTTTGCTTTTCAAGATATTCAAAGCAGCGGGAAAGAGTAATGAGGAAAAAGATGTTTTTATAAAACCACAACTATATCCTTACAAGCTGGCCTTTTCTTTGGCTAACTTTTCTGGATCTCCGTTATTGAAACTTGAATTCTACGGGTGTCAAAAAGTGCAATATTTGATTCCAAAAGAAGATGTTGGATCATTGAAAAGTGACAATTTTGCATTTAGAATATCACAACTAGCGGTTACCAGTTATAGGCCTGAAAATAATTCAATTAATGATATTCATCACGGTTGTCAATCGATATACGGTAGCGGTGACGGTTCATTTTCAACTCAAAGTCTAACTACAGATGATTTTTGGATGTATACATTACCGACGGACTTTTCTTTAGTGGGCATAAGTACAGAAGGACACTGTACCGAACATAATTTTCTTACATCATTGATAATAAAATATAAGCTGAGTAACAGTTTTGCAGATGTATTTTATCTTAAAGATGGAGAACAAACGAAAATTTTCGATATTCAAGAGCATAGCGGTAGATGGTACTTGGGTCTAGTGGAGCCATACCCTACAAGTTCCTCATTCGCTTTTCAATTAGCTAACAAACAAGCCAACAGATATGCGATAACAATGGAACTATACCTTCAGCAGAAAAATCTTGGGAGATTACGTCTTGGACCTTTTACTTCTTCTACTGTAACTTTTTCAAGCAGCACATCAACTTCCCGACACAAGATAAGTTGGATAGATTATTACTCACCTTGGGTTCATGCAGACGACGATACCAGTCCCTGGATAAGATACGATCTAACAAATTTATATTTAATACAGAGAGTGTTCTTAAGAGATTCAAGAACCTTTAGTACCAATGACTGTAAAAATTATCGCATACATATATGGCAATATAAAGGTGATAACAAGACAGAGATTGTAAGTGTTGAATAAAATCATTTTGTTATTTTTTCAATAAAAACATAAACAACAATTGCAGCCATTTACTTGCTCGAAATTTGATTCCTCCAGAAAAAAAGTCACATTTTTTCCACATTTATTGGTTAATGCAATACAATTCACATTTATAAATGACAGCATCTACTTGATACTTATGGTATACGGTATGAGAGCAGACCAATGCCCTCCAGGTGCAGTAAGAAATTTTGATAAATGCTATACAATAACCGATGTTACTGATAATCGGACGAGAGCTGAAAATTTATGTAAAACTGGTTTCTCTTGGAATGGTCCAGGCTCGTTGATTATGCCTAAAACATCATTGGAAAGGAATTTCGCCAATATGCTTTTGTATTATAAAGGGTTTGTAGTATGTTTTATTTTGCATGTGTATTTTTCTCTCTGTCTCTCTATCTATCTATCTATCTCTATCTCTCTAACTAGGTTATCATTTTTAGATTTAAAAATGCTAAATATCACGTTGGCATGAAAAAAGTATCGGCTGGTAATTACGTTTGGGACGATGGTGAGACTGTTGAAAATTACATTCCAAGAACGTACGACTATTCAATAAATAGTGATGATGGTTCCTGCGTTGTTGCGAGTCGATTTTTTAATGATGTAGATTGTTCGACGAAAGCTTACACAATATGCGAAACACCTGCACAGGGTACAAAACAAACAAACAAGTTTTTCTATATTTTTAAATACTTTAGACATTGAGTAAAACTTTATTATTTATTATTTCAGTAGTGACAAGTTGCCATCAAGTTTGGTCGGTAAGAAGAGGAGAATCGACAAGACCACCTAGCTACTCTAGAGAGATGCACGATTTGCGAATGTGTTTAGGTCTTTGCAAAGACCCCATTTGTAAAGGAGTTTCTTATGTTCCAAGGTAATTATGATTGAACGATTAATACAAATACAATTGATGGATTGATTTAAATTTAGGGAATATGGCTTGACGACGTGTCGCATTTTTAACTCTGCTACTCCGCACGAAGAATTGGTGGTCAATAGCGGTAGTTCAATTGTCCTCTTCGACTACTCGTGCCTTTCCGACGGTGTGCATAGATTGCTGCCAGAAGGAAATGAAACAGAATCAAATTTTGGCGTTACTAGTAAATTCTACAATGCTGTAACAAAGAATTATTATCTCGACTACTCATCGATGGGCAATGAAGGTGCAACTTGCCTAAAGGACTTACCTTGTTTTATACAAATTGAGTTTAAACAAACTTATGAATTTTTTGGCTTTGTAACGCACTCAACAATTGGGGAGGGAAATGATAGACACTATACAAAAAAAGCATATGTTCAATACCAGACTGATAGGAATTTTCTTTGGAATTTTCATAAGAATGAAGCTTTAAATCAAGTAGTTGTAAGTATTGACGAAAAAAAAATTGTTCTATTGACATTCTCTCTCTCTCTCATACTCTATATTATTGTTTTAGGATTTCGTCATTCAAGATGAATTGAATTTTCACTCCTATCACGAGTTGTTACCTACAAGGAAAGGTATTTCCTTTAGAATGGTAGCCGAAGAGTCTTTTAACAATGCCTCTCTCTCTCTTCAAATATATGGAAAAAAAGCAATCGCCAGTGGTACTATTAAGAAATGCAGCTATAGAATTGGATTGGAGCATTCCAATGTAATACTAGATCACCAAATTTATACCAATTCAACTCATACAGATCCGACTACAAGTCTAAAAGATATTCGTTTAAATTCAAATCCAAGTAGTAAAGATTCTTTAGGATGTTGGGGTCCGTTGGTTAACAATAGCGCTTATGTAGAAATTGATTTGGGATATATTTTCAATGTCACTGGTTTAATCTCTCAATCCTGTTCAAAACTATCAAATTTTGTCTATAAATTCAGAATTTCTTATCGAGTAGACACAAGAGAGGAATGGTCAGAACAGGTGATATTTTCTCCTTTTTATCTTAGTTGTTTTTTATTCATTCTTCCATTTGCTTCTTCTTCAAAACAGACTTTAAGCATTTTTAAAAAGTACATACAAAATGCCGAATACCATTCATTTTTTGATGCTATAAGAGCCAGATACGTTAGGATACAACCGTTAGAGTATGACGTCAAAAATGCTTTTAGAATTGAACTGTTGGGTTGTATGGATCGTAAGTAAACAACAGAAGAGATGATTGGACAACAACAATAACAACTAAATAACAATGTTCTTATAACAGAGGCAGAAGTGATTCGAGGTCCTCCATTCAGTTTACTTCATCCCAAAGGTATTCGTGTCGATTCAAATATTATTGGAGAAGTAGTCGCTTGGGAAGAAATTGATCATACAACGCCGCTAATATGTCCCAATCAAACCGATAAAGATCTCGTATTGTCTATAGATTTTAAAGAGATCTATACTATAACCGGATTTAGAGTTAGTACTGGTAAAGAGGGCGAAGTACGGTTCAATTTAGAATATACCTTTAAAGTTACGGAATGGAAGACTTTCAACGGAGGATTCGATCAAATTATAAATGTCCGTATACTACACATTTTCTATTTTCCTCTCTCTTTTTTCTATTGTTCTAATAACGTTACAGAGTACATCAAACATTCAAGATATTCATTTTGGACGTCCAATTATCCTCAGATATTTAAATTTGGTATTGAAGAATGATAATCAGTTTTGTTTCAAATTGACATTTAATGGAATGAGATCCGGACGTAAGTTGTTGAACATTTTCATAAAAAATCCTAAAATCATTGTGTATATTGAAAATATTTATAAAAAAATAATATAGCGTGTCCATCCGGATTTGTTGAGTACGGATCGAGTTGTATTAACTTTCTTAATAGGCCTTCTTCAAAGGAAGGTGTACAGAAGGTTTGCGAAGGTGTCAACTGGTATGGAAAGAGCTCATTAGTTAGTCCAAAAACTGACCAATTTTTCCACATGTTCTTGAGTTCATTATCATTTGGGTAAATAATTATATACAATAGAAGAACATTCACTTGTTCACTCTTTTACGCATTGCCTCCTCTCTCTGTCTCTCTCTGTCTCTCTCTCTCTCTCTCTCTCTCTCATTTTAAATGATTATGAATGTTTTAGGTTATCCTTTACACCATTTATTGGATTAAACGAAACGGCTTCAAAGTATTATTGGGATGACGGAAGTGTTATTCCGGACGACTACGAAATGGTATTTAAAAAACCCTTATCAATCAGTGGAGATTGTTTTGTATACAACGACGGCGCTTTGGATAAACGCGATTGTTCTCTAGAGAATGGTTTAGTGTGCGAGACAGAATCAGCTGGTAAAAACGATAAATTCTATTAGTAAACACTCTTTTTTCCTTGTAATATTTTTTAACTCTCCCCCTCAGCTAACGATACAACAATGCCACTTTACATGTGGACAGTAAGAAGACACGTTGCGCCTACCGACAGTCAGACATTTCAGAATTTTACAATCGTTGAGAACACTAATTACGATTGCTTAAAATTATGTGAAGAAGAGACTAGCTTCGAATGTTTATCCTTTACTACTGATTTGGCGGCGAGTGAATGTAAAATCTACGCGGATAATACTCAAAATCCTCAATTCCAATTGAAAACTTCTCCAAATCTATTTTTTTTCGAAAAACTTACTCAAATTTCTTGCCCTCCACTTATACAATCGTCCGCCTTCGGTGTCATGTGGAACGTCTCTTCCGAACAATCGCCTACAACGTCCAAACTTCAATTACCGTTCTATAAACGTTCGTCAACCTCCGGTCTCTATTGGCAAGCCGAAGCGTCCGATTCTCAACCGTGGTTGTTGGTCTATTTCAGCAGTGAGATTACCCTGACAGGCATCGTTCTACAAGGTAGTGGCCGGACTGACGAAGATAATTACATAACAGAATTTACAATTAAAAAATCGATGGATAATATTGATTGGAAAGATATTGAACCAACAAGCGGAAATGGGAATATATTCAAAGGTCTTACCGATCCGTATTTCGCTAGAGTGTACTTGTTTACGAAAAGAATTAAAGCTAAATATTTGCGAATGGACATTATTTCCTTTAATGGAGATGCCGTTGTCAGATTTGAATTGTACGGATGTAACGAAATAGTAATGGACTGCTTTTTGGAAACAGAATCGAAATTAACTTCAATTTATCAATTTAATACGAAATGCTACAACAATTGGAATGTAATTGGCTACCAATATACATACGTCGATAGTGGAAATCCACCTAAATGGACCAAATACGCGAATGGTTTAGGCAACGATAATGAATACGCTTTGGGCAATGACATATTAGCGAATATGACAGGTTTTAGGTCATACTTCCTAAGAATTGATATGTGGTCTAAAGATGGCCAACATATTCACGCAGAATTTAAAAACATTCTCGTTTTATTTAAAATCACTCAATTTCTCCTAAACGTTCAAGAATTTCGCAGTGGAAAGGCAACTGATGGAAATTTTATTCAACCAATGAAATTCTACACAATTGATAAGGATAATAATCAGGGTTGCTCCGCAAAGCATAAAACTGGTTGGTGGTTTCCAGTGGATTCGTGTAATAGTTCTTCAGTTGTTAGAGGACATTCGGCATTTTGGTCGGTAAAGGAGACTGCTTTTAATCCAGCGTCCTCTTTTCCAGTTGACAAGTACTTTATGAGGATGAAATCTTTCAACACTTGTATAATATTTTTAATAATTTTCTTTCAATTCCCTTTAAAGGCCTATTCTCCATCTATCATTTTTTTTTACAGTTGACGTTAGTAAAGGGAAAAAAGCTTATCAAAAGACGACAGAATTAGGAAATGTTGCCTCATTGGCGGTCGACGGCCTCTCCTTAACCAATGCGTTGAACGGTGAATGCGCAATGAACGAATTAACGTCAGATCCTTGGTGGGTTGTTTCTTTGGGTAAAATTTTCACTATTGATTATATAGTGATATGGAATAGAAAAGACTGTTGCGGTAGGATGACTATAATTCAATTATATTGCCATATATGTATAATACATGTTTATTCATTCCTTAGAATCTGATTTAAGTGACTTTAAAGTGGGCGCAGCTAAAGAATTTGTCAATTTTACCTTCTCTGCAAGTAACTTTGAACTTTGTAAACATTATACGCAAACAGTTAAGTCTGGAGAGAGTGATTCGATCCTATGCGATAAGAGTTCTATTAACGGTTCGTTTATTGGCGTTTGGATGGAAGGAGCTAATAGGAGATTGACGCTGTGCGAAGTAAAAATATATAGCAAAAATTCTGGTGAGAAGAGAATTAAGGGCAATTAGTATCTTTTATTATTATTGTTATTTATTCATCAGTCGGAAGAATAGGATATAAAGAATTGTGCGAATCAGACGATGATTGTATAGAGCCTCTTACAATATGCCTTCCAACAACGGACCCTTTTACCTTTGAGAATATAGTGTACTCCTGCCTATGCGAAGAGGAAACAATAAGGGAAGATAACCAATGTAAACCTTGTAAGTAATAAAGAAACAATTCCGGTTTATCATTATTATCATCATTGTCCTTGTCGTTGTTTGTCAGATGTCGATGTTGGTATTAAAAGTATGAAAAGACTAGATAAGAAATTGACAAGAGAAACGCTGGAATTGACAACATTCGAAATAGTGATAGAGAATCTACACGGAAAGGAAATAATACAAACATTGTTACCAATAGTTAACTTTAATATTTCATTATATTTAACGAATTCGGATGAGAAAGTTTCGGAAACTTTTCAAATTCAATTACCTTTTGAAAGCATAGAAGAAAAATTGAACGGATCTTTGGCAATGAACAATTCCGTAGTATTGCCTCTTCAATTTAATTATTCGTTAAATATTAAAAATTGTAGCGATGTCAGTTACGTATGCGTTACAATAGATAGATCCGACTATAGATTGTATAAAGAAATTAACGAGACAAACAACAAACTATGCTTAGCTGCGTCAGAGTTTGTCGAATGTCGTCCAGGTAAGAAAAAAAAATCATTCTCTAATGAATTATTAAAAATATAAAATACAACAACAACAACAACAGATTTGGATCTACTTTTGAAAAGATTGCATTGGACGTCTATGGAACCTGTTTATAGAGATTTACAATATAACCATTCAATTGAATTGACTATTGAAAGTTTACCGATAAATTCATACGATATAATTCAACTCTACGGCGAGAGGATCAATTTTGATTTTGAATATATCGTCTCTAACCAGCAGCATCTATTTAACAGTACAAATCCAAAATGGACGTCTATTCTATTGAATATCGACGATAAACAAAAAGGCTTAGAATCTAGAAAAGAAGTGAAATTTCTGGCAAAAATTCTCGTAGAACTCGACAGAGCTGCTTGCGAGCAAACAACAACTATTCTATGCGTAAGGAGAAAGTTGTCATCCACCTCCAGTTTTCAAGAGCAAATCTCCCAAAATGATAATTTATGCATAGATATAAGCCTATTAAAAAATTGTACTCCAGGTGAAAAAAACTCACTAATATTTTTGTTTTTTTTTGTATTATAACAGTATATACAGTATATATATATGAATTTTAACAACACAGATGTAGAGATAAAAAACACTCTAACCCTGCTCACATCTTCACTAATAAGAGGTTATAATCAGACCTTAAGCGGCATTATTCAATGGGAGAATATCGACAATAAGCACAGCATTGTTGAAATTCCAACTGGAAGGTTTAATTTCAACGTTACTCTAACTATTTCTGATAAAAATAAGAAGAACGATACGGCGGCAGAGTTGGATTTATTAATTTATTCTTTCGTCAATGATTCTAGTTTATTTATTGGTGAACAATTAAAAGTCGATTTTAACGAGGAGATTTTAATACCGAGAGAATCTTGTTCTAATTATAAATTTCTATGCGTCGAACTAAGACCAGCGTTGGGATCTTCTTATTCCCTGTACAATCGTAACGATAACAACAACAACAACATTCATATTTCGTGCTTAAATCTAGAGAATATAGTTGAATGTGTTGGATTGAGAATATCTAATTTAACGTTTAAAATAGAAGACAATAACCTTTTTGAGGGAAATAAGAATACATTTTCGGTAATATGGGATCTGGGAACGGATGTAAATTTCACCTTGAACTACGGCGATAATGAGATATTCTTTTGGAATTGGTATAATTTTGGTCATATTCAATCTTATTCAAAGATTGAAAAACTCATCTATAATCATATCTATTTCAATTATAGTATTTATAATGTTACTTTAACCGCTTGGAATGAAGTTGATAAGGAAATAATTATTCTAACGAAAAAGGTTGAACCAATCCTCAAGGATTATTCAATCATTTCCAACCGTTACATTCCTGACGAACCTCCGTTAAGAGTTACATTCCTAGTTGACTATTTGAACGAGGCGAACTCGAATACGCAAGATATCTACCTTTCCTGCTCCATTGATACTGGACACAACTTTACAGTTAATAAAAATGGTAGAATTCAATACGCAAAGCCATTTCTTATAGATTATTTGTATACAATTGACGTCATCGACGCCGAATCGTTGATAATTTGTAACAATACCATTTCCAACATAACCTACTCTAATCAATTTCTTCTTCAACAAAATGTTAGCGGATTAGAAATCGGCTACGACGTCGTTCTATGGCCTTCGTTTGTCAATGTATCATTAACGCTAACATTAGTGAATGGAAGCGATGTTGAATACGATATTTCGTACGGAAATGGTGTTATGGAAACGGTTAAAGTTCACCAATTGTACGCCAATCGTCAACCTTTCGTATGGAATTATTCATTTCCCGAAGATGGTAATTTCTTAACAACGGCAATTGCGAGAAATAGATTTTTTAATACATCAGCTCAAGCTTCTAATTTGATTAAAATTCAACACGAAATTCAAGAGGTTGAATTAAAGGTCAACTATTTCCCTCCAAGGAATATAACCATTCAACTTCGGGAAGTAAAGAATACGAAGATACCTACAAACGTAACTTGCTTCATTAATTATGGAGATAATAGTACTGTTGAAAAATATGATTTTGTTGATTTATTGAATGGTATGTCGGTTAGTTATGTTTATAATAGAGCTTATAACGAAAGACGGAAGAGAAATTTAACAATTTCGGCCTACTGCCATAACAAACTCTCTCAAACTAATCTCTCTAGTAATCTTGTATTAGACGAAGAGATTAGGGGATTATCTATAGAAACGTCCAAAACTATAATATCAACTTTTGAGTATTTTCTCATCAACATTTCAATTGAAACTGGAACAAAGATGAATGTTACATTCGACTACGCAAATGGTAATGTATTGAACTTTTACGAAGAAGGTCCCGGATTATTCATTACGTATAATTATACTTATAAAAATGATGGCGTCTACACTTTAAAGTTCAATCTGACAAACTCGGTAAACAGTATGGAAATCTTACACGAACCAATTACAATTCAACATCGAATTCTAAACGCCTCCTTCTCGTTGGATTATATAGAGCCGAGAAATTTCACTGTATCTATTCAACAGTATTCTCCTTTACATATACCAACGAACGTCACTTGTATAACGGAAATAAAGAATTCGACGCTGGATCACGTTATATATCCCAATCTGGTGGAAGGATTGTTAAGAAACTATAGCATTGAGAGAAGATTCAACGAGAGGAGATATAAGAATGTCAGCGTAACGAGTTTCTGTTCGAATTTAGTATCAAACGCTTCGTTTTCCCAATTTGTTATTCTAAGGGAGGAAGTTACAGATTTAAATTTTACATGCTCTACAAACGTAACAATTGTAAATCGTACAGTCAACTTTTTCGTATCTACAAAAACTGGTGATGATTTAAAAGTTGAATTAGACTACGGTAATTCTCAACAGTATATATTCAACATTTCCAATTTCTATTCAACAACTATATACAATTACTCTTATCCTCAAGTTGGCAATTTTACCCCTACTATTCGAATAAAGAATACTGTTAATGAACTATTTGAGGCGTTACCGTTACCTACAATTACTCAAATACCAGCTTATACAGTAAACATAAGCGCCTTATCGTCAACAACTTTAGATGAACAACCAACAAATTTTTCCATAACAGTCAACGATAAAAGGGAATCGGCTACCGATGTATTTTGTTCTTATCAACTATCCGAATCAATAGAATTGGCCAAGTTCTATTACGAACCAAACTTGACAACAACTCAAACTGTTGTAAGATATTATAGATATACTAGAAAAGATACTGGATGGAGATTTTCGGTGAATGTTACTTGTAAAAATCTGGTAAGTTCAATCAACTCTAGTCGGGAGATATTCGTACACGAAAAGATAAGAAATTTAAGGATGACTTTGAAGAGAGCAGCGACAGTACCATTCGAAAATCAAGTGATAATATTATGGGTTGATACGGGATCATTGGTAACCTATTCAGTTCAATTTGATGATTTAGCTAGTTTTACGAAAAAGCATCCCAAGATATTTGCCTCTGACGAATCGTTCAAGTTTAATTTTATATTTAATAAAATCGGTAATTATTCAGTTGGAATTAAAGCTAAAAACTATGTTAGCGAAGAGGAACTACTAAGGAATATATCCGTTCAGAATAATATTGAAAATATTACTATAACAGCTAATAAATCGATTCTATGGATACCCGGAGTAATTGACTATGTACTAACGTCTAAACACGATCAAAAGAATCTGACAGATGTGCATTGTTCCTTTAACTTTAGTAATGGAATGACAAGATACGAATATATTCCTCTATGGGAACCTTCCACTAGTTTTGTATATTCCCAATATTTTCCTCGAACCGCTGTGGGAAATTTATCATCATTAATCACCTGCTATAATCTCGTTTCATCTTTCAATATAACGAGACCTACGGAGATTATCTTGGACGCGGTTATTATCGGTTCGCTAAAAGATAACGGAACTGTATTGTTGACGAATAGAACAACGATAATTACGGAAATTAGGCGTATGGGTACAAATTCGTGTTTGATCTTTGACCTCGACGATAACGACAAACAATTAGCGTACGGAGTAAATGAATTTTGTAGAAATAACATTCCCGGAAATATATCTTATCAGCAAATTGAATATAATCAAACTTTAATAATTTTTGACCACATTTTTTCAAATATTGGCAAGTACAACGTTACTCTGACTGCGTTCAATTTGATTACAAAGGATATCAGATGGTTTCGTTCGGAAGTGGCGGATTGGTACTGCAACGATCCGAACGCAACTATTGCCCAAGAATTTACGGATGAGCAGAGTTTTACAACAGTAATGAAGAGCAAAGAGTTATATATTCCATCGCTGGCCGAGTACAATTGTACAATGTCGAGACAGATTCTTCACAAATGGAGCGTTTATCAATTACAATCGAATAAACTACTCTATTCGTCCGACAGTTCGAAATTCGTTCTTCCTCCAAGAACTGTAGACTATGGAAAATATAGAGTTGAATATTTTATATCTATGCTTTGGCATCCTATCTTTAATAATTCGTATACAGCATACTTTGAAGTTGTACCAACTCCACTCCAATTAAATTTGACTAATGGAAAGACTTCAACAGCAATTTACGATACCAATGTAACTTTTGACGCCTATACTCTAAGTTCCGACCTCGATAACGACCCGTCGGAAAAGTTCAAAGGAGTAACTTTTAAATGGTTCTGTAGACAATCTAACGAGAATTTTCCGACAACCGAACAACTGAGACAACTCGATCCAGTTAATATTCCAACATTCGAAGAATTTCAAAACAATGGTGGCTGTTTCGGTCGCGGATCTAGTCTTGTTTACATAGAAAATAATGGAACATTTATTCTCAATACTTTCTTCATGCTACCCAACGCTAGTTATATTATTGATGTAAAAATGTCATCAATCTACGCTAATCGTAAGAAATTCTTTCAAATTAAATTCAATATTCCACCTCCAAAAGCTCCAAAATTGAAATTGACGTAAGTAGAGAGTTGTTTTCTCTCGTTGCTGTTGCTAATTTTACACTTTCCTTTTATTGCAGTTGCGTTGATAATTGCCAAGAAAAGAAGGCGTTCAACGCCGAAACGAAATACGAAGTTGAATGTTTCGTCGGATGTTCTAGCCTCTATTGGCAGATAATATACGAATGGAAATTATTGATTAGACTTAATGGTTTGTGGTTTGAAAATAGAACAAACGCTATTCAAAAGCAAGCTAAAAGAGATAGCGAAATTGTATTCAAAGCGGAAGAAATGGCGGGAGGTCATTATTTCGATTTGTCGGTTAAAGGTTCTCTGGAGAAAGTTGGTGAAATTGAAAGAGTAAATGAGACATTTCTCGTGAATAAACCACCATTTGGCGGAAAGTGTTCGAGAGAGCCGAGCGAAGGATACGCATCAATAAATAAATTTGATATTACTTGTCAAGGATGGCAAGAATTCGAAAAACCACAATTCGCTCGAGATCTTAAATATGTATTTAGAAGTAGACCGAAAGGAGTGAAACCTAGTTTTCTTTTATATTTCGCTCTAAAGAATGGAGCGGCTAGTCTACTCTTATCCGTAGGTGATCCAATCAATTTAATCACAGAAGTGATTATACAAATAATCGACTCTGTTGGCGATGTTTACAAGTTTATTTTGGACATGAAAGTAATGCCACCTCCAGAAAAGGAAGTGGATATTTTAAACTTGGTCAACTATCTATTAAACGCTAAAGAGATGGAAAATCTTTTGGAAGCTGGAAATTATACAACAATTGGTCCTACACTGTATTCAATAGCGTCTATTTTGAATGCAAACTTGAATAAATCATTGGAAAATTTTGAAAATATGACAACCAACGAAATGGAAGAGTATAGGAGTAATATTACAAAATTCCGAAAGAGGGTAAGATTGATTGCGTAATTGATTTTCATTTCTTTTTCAAACAAACCAACAAATTGCCACAGATTCGGGAAAAAATGGTTGAAATAGCTATACAACTTCCTTATCAAAGCATTAACGAATTGGAGCAAAGTAACAGTATCCTTAGCGCAATCGTCTATAAACCAAAGGAATTAAATTATAAAACATTGGTATAGTTAATTAATCAATTAAATTAAGTAATTAAATCAATCAACTCATAACAGAAAATGACAAGTCGACAATTGTTAAAATTGAACGACGCTCTTCATTCTAGCAGAGCTGAACGAGAGAAAAATAAAGAAATTTCTATAAGTATAAACAAATAAAAACAACCAAAAATATTTACTATAATTTCTATTTTGTCAGGTTTGATTGAAACTTCTATTCGACTAGCAACTTCCGTTGAATCTTATAGGCGAGATCAAGAGTCTTTCTACATTGAAAGTAACACTACAACTACGAATTCTACCATCAACAATTCAACAATTGATCAGGATGTTCAAAAACGTCTACAATTGAAAGAAGTAATGCGTAGGATTATCTTTACCATTGATAATATTACAGATAGTCTATTGGATACGTTGAAATTGAATGATACACCGATACAAGTGACTTTTGAAGAGATATTTTTGGAAATTGGAAAAACTTCACCAATCGAATTATTGAGAAAAAATTTTACAAATCCTCTTGGAGAGTTGAACATTCATTCTTTAGAAATCATTAACTATACTTGCGCTAGTAGAAAGATTGTTATGACTAGATTTAATCTATTCATGTGGGATGAAACGTCTAATGACGTTGAATCCGGTTTGCTTCAATTGGATATTTTTCCGTGCGATGGCGCCAGAGAAGTGTCGAGGAAAAGGAAAAAACGTAGCATTGTAAACACTCCGGGGAATAGATTTACTTTTACGTCCAGGATGGATGAAAATGCTGTTGAAACGACTCAGAAGATTAACACAACGGCTTTGGCTGCATTACATTTCTTCAATATTTCGGACGATACTAATCCAATACAATTAAGATTCGAACCGCCCGAGCATTTAACGCTACAAGTACTAGTAGGAATTGATCAGAGACCGTCAATTGACAAAAATAACGGTTCATTCATAATTCCAAATGTAAATAGGACGTGCTCTAATGAGAATGATATCGGATATTGTAATGATTTAAAGCGAACAATTGTGCTGCAATCGTATTTTAATACAACGCTAACGGTTAGAGTTACTATTGAAAAGTGCATTAATTGTACAGAGGAGGTGTTACTCTATACATTATCGGTGTTTAATACGTCGTGTAGAATATGGACTGGAGAGAAATGGATAGAAAATAAAGAGTGCATAACTGAAAAGGAAAGTACCTCGACTAAAGTTAGATTCACCAGCAATCTCTTTGGTAGTATTGGAGCCGGAATCGACGTTCTACCAAACTTGATTGATTTCGATACGGTATTCGACGATTTCGCTAGTAAATTAGCCGATAATGCGGCAGTTTTTGGTACAATTTGCGCTCTCTTCGTACTTTATATACCGTTAGCTTTACTGGTGAAGAGAATGGATAAGAAGGATAAACTATTGTGGCAACCGTTACCGTTACTGGATAACTTTAAAGGAGATAAATTCGAATACGAAGTACACGTATTTACCGGCAATGAAAAGAATTCGGGTACAATATCTAAAGTTCTCTTTACTACTTTTGGAACCGAATGCAATTCGGGGAGGAGGCGTCTAGTATCAACCGGAGTAACCTCATTCGATTCGGCATCCGTTAGGTCGTTCATCATGACGACCAGCCATTATCTAGGTTCATTAGTTTGTATTAGAATTTGGCTAGAAGAAATGATATTTGCGGAAGATCCTTTTGATCCTTGGTTCCTTAGTCGAATAGTTATCATAGATAGGACGTCGCAGGCGTGGTATAATTTCGATTGCAACCAATGGCTTTCGCACATACACGGCGATGGTCACGTTGAAAGAATTCTTATGGCGACAAAAAACGATATGACGCCTGATATGAACGAGCTATTTAAAAGGAATTTCTATAGAAGAATGGCCGACGACCATTTGTGGATATCAGTCGGAGCAAGAAGAACAAAATCAAAATTTACCAGACTACAAAGACTCGGCGTCTGTTTCGTTGCGTTATTCCTATCAATGATTGCTAGTTGTATGTTTTATAAGGATAGCAGCGAAGAGGCGAACCAAAGAGCTGGCCTTACATTAGGACCATTTTCTTTTACAGTAAGGGAGTTGTACGTTGGTTTAGCGAGTAGTGCAGTAGTATTTCCCGGTCTCGTTTTAATTACATTATTATTTAATGCAAAAAAGTGGAGAAAGTATACGGTCCCTATTGGATGGTGTGTTGCGGCCATTGCAGCGTTAACTGCCGCATTCTTCACAATACTTTATTCAATACAATGGGGTAAAGAAAAGTCTCTGCAGTGGCTCTTATCCTTTACTATGTCATTTGTCTATAGTATCATGCTAATTCAACCGGTTAAAGTTGTTTTTATAGCATTTCTATTGACATTCTTAATGAAAAAGGATACGGATCTAACAGAATACGAAGAAAATATTGGCGAAATGAATAAATTGGAATACAAAAATCTCGATCATATTCCAAAAGGTTTGAAAATTGCTTATAAAATTAGATAGATAGATAGACGAACGAACAGACGAATAATTAAAAAAAGACTACTAATTCTATTGTTTATTTTGCAGAATTGAATATTCAACAGAAAATTAAAGAGACTGTTGAGGAAACTATGAAATTAAAAGAGACCAAAGTTGTAGAAGATAGAATGCACAATATGGTGAAGATTATCGTATTGCATCTTATCTATACATTATTTGTGGTATTCATATGCTATAGTAACCAAAATCCATCGTTCTATTATCAGAATAAAGCGATTTACGATACTCTACCAAAATTATCAAAGGTCAATAGTCAGGCAAATTTTTGGTGGTGGATTGAAGATATTGCTCTTCCTGGATTGTATCCCAGACAATATTACAACTCGAAGAATATGTCCAAATACGATATGAAACATACCAGCGAATATAATCATATGAGATTTTCATCGGTTAGACTATTTCAAGAGAGGGTCAATCCTTCAAAATGTCGACTACCGCAACAATTACAGTCGATATTCAACAACTACAACTGCTATAAGGAAATGGGCGATGATAATAAATTTGATAGGAATTCGTCGTTTCACTGGCACGACTATAGCCATTCGAATAATACGCACGAAGCTTTCATCTACTCTAAAAAATTTAATGGATATTCAATTGCGCTTGGTGAAGATTTCCAATACGCTAAACGTCTAGTTAAGAATTTAAAGAAGTGGAAATGGACTGATCGTCAAACTCGAATAGTTACGCTAGATATGACAATTTTAAATCAAGAAATTGTTTCTCAAGTTAAATGGACATTTAAGATGAAAGCGACTGGTGGCGTTACAACTGTTTTAAGGTGCGATTCTTTAATTCTGTACAGGTATACTGGTGCGGGAGGATTAGTAGCGTTAATCGTTGAGATATTATCAATATTAATGTGGATAGCATTAGTTATCCGACTAGTTTATAGATTGATAAAATACGACGAAATTCCGCGAATATTTCAAACGTTATCGTTACTATTTTTCGCCTGTTCAATAATTTTGTATATATGGAGGACAGTGAAAGGTGTGAACGCCGTTGAGACTGTTATGAATTCAAGAAAGACTTTTACTAATTTATCTCCGTTCTTTAACTCTCATTATTATTTTATGGTGTTTATTGGATTTTGCGCCTTCTTTGCACAGATTCATTTGTTGAACCTTTTAAAAATATCTAGAACCGTCTCGGTTCTGATTGGTACATTGAATAAATCCAAGGGCGAATTGGGTTCAATTGGATTTTGCTGTTGTATATTCTTTCTCGGTTACGCTTGTTGGGGTTATATACTTTTGGGACCAAATACGGAAATCTATAAGAGTTTTAAATTTACTTGCTACGCTCTAGTCGATACTGTTTTTGGCCATTTAGATTTTCATTTAATATCGGAAACGGCTGGATTATTGGGAAAAATTTACATCATATCCTACGCGTCTATAATGATGTATCTTATCTTGAATATATTCATTTCGACTCTCAACGAATTTATATCGGCGGTAAAGGTGGATAAGACTGTTTTGTCGGAGGATCCAAAAGTTTTCAAGTATATTGTAGGGGAAATAAAGAAGATATTTCAAAATAGAACAACCGATATCCAAATTAAAAATTACGATAAAGAGATTAGACTATACGGAGGTATGTACAATATCTTTACTATACAGCTCGTTTTCTTCTTCTTCTTCTTCTTCTTCTTCTCTTACTAATCATAATTTACCAATCTATTGTTTTTAAAAGCTTTGACTAATCATATAAGAGGCTTGGAAAATATTACAACGACCAATATTCGTGGACCCGATATAGATTCATTTTTAGATCTCGTAGAATATATTCTCACTTCAGATGATATGGAGAATGATTATATTCAACAATCAGCCACTATGGATGACGAAGAACTTTACAATGAACTTTTAATTATATTTCGTATTGCTGACTAAAAGAGAAAAGTGTGCAATGCATACATTTTCCTATTATATTTTAACACATCTTTATATATTCTGTAAATGTTAAATAATGATCTCTTTTTTCAATCATGATTAAATAAAGAACAAAGTAACCCTGTTACAGTCACTTTAAACAATTTGTAAATTGTATATTTATAGTATAAATGACTAGAAAAAGAAGCAGAAGAAGAAGAAGAAGATGATGATGATGATGTAGACGACAACGATGATTGGTTGGTATAGAAAGGGAGATGATTGGTATTGGACCAGATTTCTATGTATTTTAACTAATTACTAGTAAATTTGATTATTTGAACAATTGTTGAAGATGACATACAAACAAAGCTGGTAACAAGTTTGATATGATATATTGAAAATAGTTGTAAAGAAAAGAAAAAATTGCAGACTAGACAAAACCAAAGAAATTATAATCAAATATACATTTAAATTATTAATATATATATAATTGAAGTAAATATAGATATTAGAAATCAATTAATCCCTTATCAATAAATACTTACAATTATCTTCTCTCTCTCTCTTTCTCTTATATAAATTTTCTTTTATATTTACTTAATTTAAATGTAATTTGCTTACCAGTCATTATTGATGGGAAAATATTACAAGATCTAGTATCTCTTCGTTATTGAACACCTTTGGAAATTACACAACAGATAGAACAAATGAATATATACAACATTGCAACGGTTTGTATAAGTATGTCTAGACGCTTTTAAGGTCGTTGTACTTTACTCTGGAAAGGAGGAGAAAAGGATGCATTATCTACAGTTACTTGCTTTTCTCTTAATAATAACTTTGAAATGTGAAGTATCTTTACAGGGAATAGGTATAAACATAAATTACATAAATTGTCAAACAATTAACAAACAGTTTAATAGTTTGTCTTTCTTTATATTCATTTCTGGTTAGTTTGCACCTATACAAAAAGAAGTAATAAACATATTGAAGGTAATCATTTTATACCACCGGAATGGGGATCTAGTGACCATAAGTATATTCCATTGACGGAATGCAAAAAAATCTGTACGAAATATGTGATTTGCAAGTAAGTAAATTCCAAATTGTATCTATATTTATATATAGTTGATGAACATATCACCTAAATTTGGCAGTAAGCCAAATTATCCTTACATCAATATCGTGACGTGTTATATAATTTAAACCTGTTCGTACCCGCTTATCATTTATTATGTACGTTTAATACTTATAATTAATTCTATATTACCAGTATAGACTTTAATTATAAATGTGCTGAATAGATAAGTCAATGACGTAGTGACGACTTATGGCAGCAACTTGCTTGCTCAACGACTACATATATATATATATATATATATATTAATTAGGTCATTGGATCATCATCATACGAGTAACAAATGTTGGTTACACGATGTTCATTCGTATCAAACATACCAGTACGAAAGTGACGGATCCTACGATTTCTATGAAAAGTATGAATGCAGTAAGTAAATTATTATTGTACTTTCCTGCTGGGGTTGTAGGTAAGTACTGGTCCAAATGTTCTATTTGGAATCAGGGGTAAGCCACTTAGAAGAGAGATATAGAATTGAGGGAGGATGAATATAGAACCAAAATGTAAGAATAATATAACTGTATTCTAAAGTAATACTAGACCTGTTCACTAAGGGAGTTGATTCAGGACTGAATGCCTGTTACTACCTACGCCCTGCTTTTATACAATTCCTTATCAGTTGTTTATACCTTAGCTGTCAACAACAAGGGTCTAACACCAGATAAGGATTGTTCACAACAAATAGGGTCAAGGGTTATCGTATTTATGAATTAGTGATGTACACAACAACAACTTTGTGTAGATAAACCCTCAAGGGTTAATTGTTACATGATATTTATGTAAATAAACACTTGTTGTTGTTGTCAACACATTTGGTTATGTAACATCTTATCCTTTGCCTATAAAAGGGGCTGATTTTGTCAGTTCGGCATCATCTACCCCAAAGGCAACATCTACTACAACACCTCTACCATATGGTAAGTATTATTTATAAAATATCTATAAACTATAGTTGATAAGTGTACAATTGTCTTTGAGATAAATTCATTACATTAACTCATTCAATTCGTATAAACAATCATTAACATTAACAAATATATTTTCAAAAAAGTAGAAAACCAAATCCCATTGTAGATAGTTAATATATAGTAAAAGGAAACAAAAATACTATTACACGCTACCACTGAGCATGATCAAAGTCATGACTTCTCGCCAAGCTTTAAGTGAATGTGATAAAACCACTACACTATGCAACCTGGATACTAGTTGGAAAACATTACGTAAATAACACACTAAAACTTTAGATTGATTATAATTAGACGCTTTATTCTCTGGTTTTGGAATGCTTACATTGCTATTCTTTACTTATTCAATAATAACTGGGTTTTATTTCCATAGAAAACCTACTAATTATTACTTTATTCACTAATCACCATCTTGGAAGAGATTTATCTATGAATATTTGAGAAGATTTCCAACAAAGTCATTTCATAACCAATACACTTTATATATGTATTTCATACGCTAATAATTTATTGATTCATTTTTTATACTTGTAAAAGAGACTTAATATAAATAAAAAACCTAAGCGCATGCTTACAAAGTAAGTAAATGTTTTTTTGCTCACTATGCCTATTATTATTTCCTGTTTTTGTTTAGCCCATTCCCAGTTTGTCCAAATAAACCCTGAAAAGGGTTCTAATCAACCTACTGATGATGACAGTACATGTAAAGAGGAAAAAGATCCTAGCTCAGTAATTGATCAGAAAAAATGTAAATCAAAGACAGAGGAAACTAGTAATGGAAAAATTGAGAAGACAGGTACTGGGAAGAATAATGCTTGCCCTAATTTTGAGAATGATTCAGGTGTTACACCACTTCCTGTTGAACACAATGCTCCACTTGGAGAAGCATTACTTAAAAATTCAAAAACTGAATTCCTTATCGACAAATATGGTAACTTGAAACAAAGTGATGGTGATTTTGAAGAAATGATAAGGAGAATAAAGGACATAAAAAAATGTGGCTATCCATTTTGCAAGAAATTAAAGGTAAGCAATAAAAATTGTCGTTTATTCAACTCTTTTTGAATGTTTCACTTTTGAACCGTTGTTAGAAAAAGGTTATGCCTGAGAAATATAGAAATGAAAAAGACAAGCCCAAAAAAAAAACACACTGCTGCCATCATCTTATACCGAATTGGAAAGTAGAAGAAATCGCCAAATCTGCAGGAAGGGCTGGAGTTGAATAATTTATTAACGGAAATTCTCTGATTAAAGAATTGTTGCAAAATCGACTAGTATTGAAGAAGAATAGAGGGAAATTATTACACGCCTGTTATTCTTGCAACTCATACAATTTAGTAAAAGGCCCACATAAAAGTGAACGGTTAAAAGATCCAGGTAGGAAATTAGATAAGGAGCTGATTGATATTCAAATTAAAGAAGTAGCAGACAAGATCAGAAAATGTGAAAATAATGACGATTATTGCACACTCAATACAATACTACATGCGCCACTTTGGCAAAAAGATAAAGATGGCAAATTTATCATACTACCAAAAAGACTGAGCATAGATCGTCTCGGGGGGGGGGGAGCTCTGAGCAGTATCATATTTATACAGACGCATCAGACACCATATTGGGGGTAGCTATCTATTCATGTGCGAAAAGGAGTGGACAGAATAATAAGATTAATGGTCAGACTGGCAATGAAAACGACAAAGCAAGGAAAGCCGTGCAATTATCAAGGGTTGGTCTTCCTCAATGGATTTGATGTTGTTTGTTTTTATGAATCTGCTCAGTATTGTTTGTGTTTCAAGATTTTATTGATTGTAAAGATTCATTTTTGTTGAATTCAACAAACAGGTGTTGCCTGGTGTTTGACCTTGAATTCGTTTGCGAAGAGAGAAACTCTTGTGGAAATAATGAAAACAAACACTCTACTGAAATACGGTGTCTTTACACAACCAGGCTAATCAGCAGTTCATAAAATTCAAAAGAGACCAGCTTATAAAAGAATTACAAAATGACTAATTCACAATATTGATAAGATTTGGTGCCATATCTAATCCATCTGATGAACTTGCAAATAGATTACATGTAAACCTTACTTTTGATGTTGTTATCTCTCTGTCAATTGTACAAACATTATTGTCATCTTGCCAATTTATTATAACCATATAATTTCAACAAATTCTTAATATTATAACCTCTTAGTTGTGGTTAACCATTTTTTAGATCTAATATTACAAATATTTCTGTTGCTGCTGTTAAAAAATGAATTCAAGAGAAAAACTCAGTTTTAATTACTACAGGAAAGATATCGAAACCTTATTTATGAAAGAATGTGAACTATTAGAGATGTGTGCAAGTCAATATGACTTGAATAGTTGGGCATCAGGAGAAACTTTCATAGTAGAATTAGCAAATCCAAAGAAAAAAACAAAAGCGGTCCAGGAGCTGTTGAATTACCTCAGTGAAATTTCAATAGATGAAACACTTAAAATATTAGAAACTATTAATGATAATGGTAATAAACAAGCTGAACAACTTAAAGAAAAGTTAAAAGATCAGACATATGTTTGGCATAAACTGGTAGCTGCCACAAAGGAACAGAGGAGGGATGACTGTGGTTTGATTTTCCTTCTTCCATTCATTGGGACAAAACAAGCGAGGATTGAATATATCAATACTCCAATCAAAATGTTACAAATTACATCCGAGAATATTATTGAAAGAAAACTTGTAGATACAGAAGTGACTTATGAGAATTTTTTCAAGATATTCTATGAGAAATCTTACAATAAAATCTTGATTGAAGGAAAACCTGGAGGAGGAAAAAGTGTTCACATGAAAAATCTTCTCTTTAAATGGTCCAAGATTGAAGATAAGGACAAACTGTTTATATTTCTCATTTTGAAGAATGTTCAAATGGAAAAAAGTCTTTATGAGGAGATTGTGGAACAAAACTTTAAAAACATTCCATTCATTAATGCCAACATTGTTGAATTATTCTTCACTGAGAAGAGAAACGATGTAATATTGCTTTTAGACGGAGCAGATGAATTTCATTTAAAAAATCACAAAATCAATTCTATATTAAATGCACGAAAAACAAATATTCCAACTGCAATATGGTCTCGCAATTGGAAGGCACAAATGTTTGAAAGTACCTGTGATATTGCATTTGAGCTTATGGGATGGGATACTATTCAAATGGAAAACTTCTTTAGTAAGTGTTTTATCTCCAAGGAAAAAAGTGCAAATTTTATTGAAAAGGTTATAAATAATAATTCCAACATTAAAAGGTTGTGTAAAATTCCAATTTTAGCAATGATTCTCTTCCATCTTTGGAATGAAAAAAAAGATATTTCTAAAAAATCTTTATATGAAATTTATGAAGATCTTGTTAAGATTATCCTCGAAAAGAATAGAAAGATCTTGAAAGAATCTGACCAAAACCGTCTTTGTGAATTGTCTTTCATGAATCTTGCTAAAAACAAAATTATCTTACCCAAAGATAGCAATGAACAAGAAGTTTTTAAAGAAGGTTTACAGTGCTTAATTCAAGTTATTCCAACTGAATCTGATAAAATAGAACTACATTTCTATCATTTATCATTTCAAGAGTTTTTTTCAGCCCAGTTTCTAATAAAACAATTTAGACAAAGCAATAGAAACACTTTTTTGTCTAGTATGGATAATTTATTCAAAGAAACAAATAATTCCACCATTTATAATGTAATTGACTTTATAAAAGAATACTGTGAAGACATCTTTAATGATATTATACTCTACTCCGAACTTGTAAGAAAAATGTACAATTGTAGTGACAATATCAAAAAGATTTTATGTCAAGATTGGGATGACAGTGATACCATGAATTTAGAAAATGATGATATTCATGATTATATTCTGGAAACTTTAATAAAAAAGATTGGAAAGTTCATAAAAATTGTAAAGATTGTCAATACAAATATCAACACTAAACTTTTATTTGAAATGCTTTTTTCAAATGCTGATGGTTTAAAGAAACTGATAATACATCATACAGTTTTTTCGGATTATAGTTCAAATAATATATTCTTATCGAAATATTTGTGGAATTTAGAGCAATTGGAAATTAGGGATTGTTATTTGAATGAACAGACTCTGGAATATGTTGAAAAAGTCATAGGATATTGTCCTTCACTAAAAATTTTCATTCTATCAGACAACAAAATGTTGGGAGATGGGTTTAATGCAGTTTGTGAAAGACTAGCATCACAAAAAATTACTCATATTGATGTTTCCAACTGCCATTTGAATAACCAAGAAATTATAACTCTTGGAAAAACAATTGCACAGTGTTCAGGATTAGAAAATATAGATTTATCATATAATAAACAAATAGGAGAAATATTTGAAGTAATATCTGATGGATTGAAAACTCCCTTGAAACATCTAAAACAAATCAAATTGGTTGAATGTGGTCTAACTGAGAAGCAAGCTGTAAGTCTTCACAAAATTATTCAAGGTTGCTCCTGTCTGGAAATTATAGATTTATCAGGAAATCAAAATGCAGAGTTGGGAAGAAATTTTGGAAGAGACTCTTTTAAAAGTTTAATAAAAGTATACCTTAAATATTGTTGTGTAAGAGAAAAAGAAGCAATTCTTCTAGAATCTTGCTCATTTCTACAATGTTTAGATTTATCTGAAAATAAATTAATGGGAAATGGATTTAAAAATATTTGTAATGGAATATCTTCATCATGTGGGTTTATAAAAGAAATAAACCTAAAAAGTTGTAATCTAACTGAAAAACAAGGAGAATGGCTTGGAGATGCCTTGAAAAATTGTAGTTTGTTAGAAAGTGTTAGTTTATCATATAATAGATTAGGTGAAAAAGCTTTGGAAACAATATGTGATGGATTAATGTCATCTTCTTCCAAACTAAGTGAAATCAACCTAACAAGCTGTTTCTTGAGTAAAAAAAGTGCAAATTCCCTTTCAAAAATAATACAAGGATGCACTGCATTAGAAAGCATTGATTTATCTGAAAATGAAGAATTAGGCAGAGAATTTGTAAAAATTTTTCAAAACTGCTCTGAAAAATTAAAAACTCTTAAACTCTCTAATTGTAAAGTAAATCAAGTTGATGCTCACAGTCTACAAAAGTTGACACAAATTTGTTCTTCATTAGAAATTGTTGATTTATCACATAATAAGGAAATGGGAAATGGATTTCAATCAATTTGTTGGCAATGGTCAAAGGGTAACTCATTAAAAGAAATAAATTTGTCTTATTGTAATCTTTCCAAAACAGAAGGAGAAGTTCTTGGAAAAGCACTTGAGAAATGTCACAGTCTAACAACTCTAGATTTGTCAGGAAATAAAAAAATTGGAAAGGCATTTTATGAAATCTTCAAACAACTGCAATTTTGTAAGAAACTGAAAGACATTAATATATCAGCCTGTCAAATTGCTATAGACACTGCTTTTTATTTTAGAACAGCAATTGAGGGTCATACTTCAATAGAAACTATAAATGTGTCATCAAACCATAATATTGACATGATTTTCCAAACACTAATGTCATCTTCTTCAGCATTAAAGAAAATCAATATAGCAAACTGCAACTTAAACAACCTGGAAGCAGTTCTTTTCAATACTTTACTAAAACATTGCAGAGCAATCAGAGAGATAAATTTAAATGGTAATAAAACATTTATTAAATATATAGAAGCATTAATTCCATCAGCAAAATCTCTAAAAAATATAAATCTGGCAAATTGCAATTTGCAAAATGAACAACTTCAGTTTCTCACAAAAACACTAAGACAATGCTCCTCATTAGAAACTATAAATTTATCCCAAAATTTCAAGATTTGTACAGAATTTACAAAGATCTATGAAGCACTTACTTCATTATCACCATCTTTAAAAAATATCAATCTGGCTAATTGTAATTTAGGAAATCAACAAGCCCACTTTCTCACAAAAACACTAAAACAGTATCCTTCATTAGAGAGCATAGATCTCTCTAGGAATTTCACAATTTCTACAGGATTATTAATGATTTTTGAAACATTTACTTCAGCGTCATCTTTTATAAAAAATATCAATCTCGCCAAATGCAATTTGGGAAATGTTCAAGTTCATTTTCTCATAAAAACACTAAGACAATGTACTTCCTTAGAGAGCATAGATTTATCAAGAAATTCTGGCATCAATCAAGAATGTAAAACAATTTTTGAAGCACTTACATTATCATCACTTTCATTAAAAAATATCAATCTAGCAGAGTGTAATTTGGGAAGCAGACAAGTTCAATTACTCACAAAAACACTAAGAGAATGTCCTTCATTAGAGAGCTTAGATTTATCTGGGAATTTTGGGATTTGTAAAGAATGTGAAAATATATTTGAAGCACTTTCATCATCATCATCTTCTTTGAAAAATATCAATCTGGCCAATTGTAATTTGGGAAATGAACAACTTCAGTTTCTTATAAAAACATTAACACAATATCCTTCATTAGAGAGCATAGACTTATCTGAGAATTATGGCATTTACAAAGAATGTAGCAATATTTTTCAAGCACTTACCTTATCATCACCTTCTTTAATAAATATCAATCTCGCTAATTGTAATTTGGGAAATGAACAAGTTCTGTTTCCCATAAAAAGATTAAGACAGTGTCCTTCCTTAGAGAGCATAGATCAATCTGGGAATTCTGATATTTATACTGAATGTGAAGATATTATTGAAACAGTTACATTGTCATCACATTCACTAAAAAATATTAATCTGGCCAATTGTAATTTGAAAAATGAACAAGTTCAGTTTCTGGCAATAGCATTAAGTAAATGTTCTTTATTAGAGAGGATAAATTTGTCAGGAAATTATGGCATTTACAAGGTATGTGATAAAATATTTCAAGCACTTACCTTATCATCACCTTCTTTAATAAATATCAATCTCGCTAATTGTAATTTGAGAAATGAACAAGTTCACTTTCTCATAAAAACACTAAGACAGTGTCCTTCTTTAGAGAGCATAGATTTATCTGGCAATTGTGGCATTAATGAAGAATGTGAAAATATATTTGAAGCACTTACCTTATCATCACATTCTTTAAAAAATATCCATCTGGCTAATTGTAACTTAGGAAATGAACAAGTTCAGTTTCTCACAAAAATGCTAGGACAGTGTCCTTCAATTGAGACATTAGATTTGTCTGGGAACAGAGATATTTGTATAGAATATGACAATATTTTTGAAGCAATTACATCCTCAGCACTTTCTTTAAAAAATATCAGTCTGGCTAATTGTAATTTGGAAACTAGGCAAGCTCAGTTTCTTGCAAGAACACTAAGACAGTGTCACTTGTTAGAAAGAATAGATTTATCTGGGAATTCTGGGATTTGTAATGAATGGGAAAATGTTTTTGAAGCACTTACCACATCATACCTTTCTTTAAAAGGTATAAGTTTGGCACAGTGTAATTTAGGAGACAGCCAAGCTCTGCTTCTTATAAGAAAACTAAGACTATGTTTATCATTAGAGATCATAGATTTATCTGGGAATTTTTGGATTTGCACAAAATTTGGAAACATTTTTGAAGCACTTACATCATCATCACTTTCTTTAAAAAAAATTAATCTGGCTAATTGTAATTTGGAAAATAAACATGCTCTGGTTCTCATCAACACAATAAATCGGTATGCTTCATTAGAGAGCATAGATTTATCTAGGAATATTTGTATTTCTAAAGAGTATATACAGATTTTCAAAACACTTAGATCAGCATCAACTCCTTTAGAAAATATCAATCTCTCTAATTGTAATTTGAGAAATGAACAAGTTCACTTTCTCATAAAAACACTAAGACAGTGTCCTTCTTTAGAGAGCATAGATTTATCTGGCAATTGTGCCATTAATGAAGAATATGAAAATATATTTCAAGCACTTACCTTATCATCACATTCTTTAAAAAATATCCATCTGGCTAATTGTAACTTAGGAAATGAACAAGTTCAGTTTCTCACAAAAACATTAAGACAGTGTCATTCATTAGAGAGCATAGACCTATCTGGCAATTGTGGCATTGATGAAGAGTATGAAAATATATTTGAAGCACTTACCTTATCATCTCATTCTTTAAAAAATATCCATCTGGCTAATTGTAACTTACGAAATGTACAAGTTCAGTTGCTCACAAAAACATTAAGACAGTGTCATTCATTAGAGAGCATAAATTTATCTGGCAATTTTGGCATTGATAAAGAGTATAAAAATATATTTGAAGCACTTACCTTATCATCTCATTCTTTAAAAAATATCCATCTGGCTAATTGTAACTTAGGAAATGAACAAGCTCAGCTTCTCACAAAAACATTAAGACGGTGTCGTTCTTTAAAGAGCATAGACTTATCTGGCAATTGTGACATTAATGAAGAATGTGAAAATATATTTGAAGCACTTACCTTATCATCTCATTCTTTAAAAAATATCCATCTGGCTAATTGTAACTTACGAAATGTACAAGTTCAGTTGCTCACAAAAACATTAAGACAGTGTCATTCATTAGAGAGCATAAATTTATCTGGCAATTGTGGCATTGATAAAGAGTATAAAAATATATTTAAAGCACTTACCTTATCATCTCATTCTTTAAAAAATATCCATCTGGCTAATTGTAACTTACGAAATGTACAAGTTCAGTTTCTCACAAAAACATTAAGACAGTGTCATTCATTAGAGAGCATAGACCTATCTGGCAATTGTGGCATTGATGAAGAGTATGAAAATATATTTGAAGCACTTACCTTATCATCTCCTTCTTTAAAAAATATCCATCTGGCTAATTGTAACTTACGAAATGTACAAGTTCAGTTGCTCACAAAAACATTAAGACAGTGTCATTCATTAGAGAGCATAAATTTATCTGGCAATTTTGGCATTGATAAAGAGTATAAAAATATATTTGAAGCACTTACCTTATCATCTCATTCTTTAAAAAATATCCATCTGGCTAATTGTAACTTAGGAAATGAACAAGCTCAGCTTCTCACAAAAACATTAAGACGGTGTCGTTCTTTAAAGAGCATAGACTTATCTGGCAATTGTGACATTAATGAAGAATGTGAAAATATATTTGAAGCACTTACCTTATCATCTCATTCTTTAAAAAATATCCATCTGGCTAATTGTAACTTACGAAATGTACAAGTTCAGTTTCTCACAAAAACATTAAGACAGTGTCATTCATTAGAGAGCATAGACCTATCTGGCAATTGTGGCATTGATGAAGAGTATGAAAATATATTTAAAGCACTTACCTTATCATCTCATTCTTTAAAAAATATCCATCTGGCTAATTGTAACTTACGAAATGTACAAGTTCAGTTTCTCACAAAAACATTAAGACAGTGTCATTCATTAGAGAGCATAGACTTATCTGAGAATTATGGCATTTACAAAGAATGTAGCAATATTTTTCAAGCACTTACCTTATCATCACCTTCTTTAAAAAATATCCATCTGGCTAATTGTAACTTACGAAATGTACAAGTTCAGTTTCTCACAAAAACATTAAGACAGTGTCATTCATTAGAGAGCATAGACCTATCTGGCAATTGTGGCATTGATGAAGAGTATGAAAATATATTTCAAGCACTTACCTTATCATCTCATTCTTTAAAAAATATCCATCTGGCTAATTGTAACTTACGAAATGTACAAGTTCAGTTTCTCACAAAAACATTAAGACAGTGTCGTTCTTTAAAGAGCATAGACTTATCTGGCAATTGTGACATTAATGAAGAATGTGAAAATATATTTGAAGCACTTACCTTATCATCTCATTCTTTAAAAAATATCCATCTGGCTAATTGTAACTTACGAAATGTACAAGTTCAGTTGCTCACAAAAACATTAAGACAGTGTCATTCATTAGAGAGCATAAATTTATCTGGCAATTGTGGCATTGATAAAGAGTATAAAAATATATTTAAAGCACTTACCTTATCATCTCATTCTTTAAAAAATATCCATCTGGCTAATTGTAACTTACGAAATGTACAAGTTCAGTTTCTCACAAAAACATTAAGACAGTGTCATTCATTAGAGAGCATAGACCTATCTGGCAATTGTGGCATTGATGAAGAGTATGAAAATATATTTGAAGCACTTACCTTATCATCTCCTTCTTTAAAAAATATCCATCTGGCTAATTGTAACTTACGAAATGTACAAGTTCAGTTGCTCACAAAAACATTAAGACAGTGTCATTCATTAGAGAGCATAAATTTATCTGGCAATTTTGGCATTGATAAAGAGTATAAAAATATATTTGAAGCACTTACCTTATCATCTCATTCTTTAAAAAATATCCATCTGGCTAATTGTAACTTAGGAAATGAACAAGCTCAGCTTCTCACAAAAACATTAAGACGGTGTCGTTCTTTAAAGAGCATAGACTTATCTGGCAATTGTGACATTAATGAAGAATGTGAAAATATATTTGAAGCACTTACCTTATCATCTCATTCTTTAAAAAATATCCATCTGGCTAATTGTAACTTACGAAATGTACAAGTTCAGTTTCTCACAAAAACATTAAGACAGTGTCATTCATTAGAGAGCATAGACCTATCTGGCAATTGTGGCATTGATGAAGAGTATGAAAATATATTTAAAGCACTTACCTTATCATCTCATTCTTTAAAAAATATCCATCTGGCTAATTGTAACTTACGAAATGTACAAGTTCAGTTTCTCACAAAAACATTAAGACAGTGTCATTCATTAGAGAGCATAGACTTATCTGAGAATTATGGCATTTACAAAGAATGTAGCAATATTTTTCAAGCACTTACCTTATCATCACCTTCTTTAAAAAATATCCATC